CCAAACCTCTCAAACAGTTATCTATCGTTTTTGTGATATCCATTCATCTGATTGGTTGAAAAGTTTTATGATCAATCGACAAGATCACTTTTAGAAACTGAATGGTGATGGTGATATTGCAGATGATGACAAAAAGCAGAAGGATCAAGAGTCAGAAGGATCTGCCCCGCCACCTGCGATACCAGCTCCGGTACCGGCCGCAGCTCAACCTCCACCTCCACCCATTGACCCGGTTGATGAAGGTGGTGACAATTATGAAGACGTGAACATTGGTGGTGGAGACGCACCTCCACCAGCTTAGAACACAGATGATATATTGTGATGAGGATGAAGATCGTTGAATAATCCCTATAACAAATCAACGAATCGATGTGATAATAATGCTGTTAGAATGATATTATCCTATGCCATTACAGTATTATTAAGTGATATAATTGTATGATATCATATTATCAAACGATATCAAAATGAAATTATGATGCGCATATTATATTCACTGATTGTAGCCATGAAACAATAGCAATGATTCATTGATCATTATTATCAGCGTTGTCATTGCCATCGCTACCGTCGTCCTAACCCATATTAATATTAACAAAACAAAGACAGTCGAACATTTTCGTGGATGAATCGTCATCTCCGCAGTCAGTTGATGCTCTTTTGACTCACTGATTTAATAATGTACAATTAACCGCAAATTTGAAATCAACGAGTCATTAAATTGTCTCTGTATGGTGTGATATATTCGGATGCATGTAATGTGGATGCTTGGAGAATCAAGTTATTTAATTATGATTATCACTAACATTGCAGCCATTGTTTGCTTGAAACTGATAGTTTTTCGGAAGCACATGTTTTCGTGATAGCTGATAATTTAGTGAATCTGTCCATAGAAGATTCTCTACAGTTCGGGGCGAAGCTGAACTTTAATTCTGATTTAAATGATGCAACTTAAAAATGATGCTTCTGATTTTTCTGTATCTGTGCGTTACTAAAGCGAGAAATCGAATTTATAGAATTTGGTGCTACAAGCTAACTTTTCAATGTTGTAGTCTTCTAACAAAAGTACGTTATGTTAACTAGCCTAATCACCATTCATTCAGCACGTCGACACCTTAACGCCATTTAATGAACCATAGCTCCTTCTGTTTGCCTCCAAATTCCTCCTGAACGCTATACTTTCCAGTGACCAGACTGCTTCTGATTGGATGCACCTAATATCTCCACAAGAATTCGCTTATGCCCCAGAATGGTTATCATCACAGAATTGAAATGAATATTACAACACTTTCATTATTTGATTATATTACAATACTTTTCATTATCAACAAATTAAAACAAAATCACCACCATTACAGAGCAAATGGGCATTTCAAACAGATCAAACAATAATCTGTTAATTTATCAACCATCATAAAAACGATTGCACAAAGAAGATCCATTGGCATTAACATGAACACTTCATTAACCATTAGCTATTAATAAAGGAAATTCAACTAAAGAAATGTTGAATTATCGAAGATAAACGAAATTGACCGAAAACATCAATATCTGGGAAAGAATCAATTATATCTTTGGAAAGAAATTTTGAATTGTGGTCAGTCGAAGACTAAAGGATTGAGAAAACTTTGAATTGCTGCTTGATTCATACGAAAATGTGACTGAATGAGGAACGCTGAGTAAGATTACTGTGAAAAGAAGTACCCGAATCACATGACGAATTAATTCCACCAATAACCTATCAATTACCATACAAAAGTAGTGTCAATGAATCAAAATGGTCACTTGTCTCCAATGAATGATAGCGAACATTAAATACCACATTTAGAAATCTTCACATGTGCACGCACAAGAAAATATGTATAGATGAAACATCAGAAAATTCCACT